TTTCCACAACTGGTGCTTAAAACTCATTGTATATTTTACATAACCACTAATGATCATTCTATTACTCTCCTCCTATTCTTTCCTTTCCTTCTTTTCCATCTTCTTTAGCTTCGTTCGCTCCTCCCTTTCAGTTGCAGTAACTCTAGCTAACTAAATATGTCCCAGGTGTTCATGCCACACATTAGCAACACACATTAGCAAAGATAACAGGGTTAATACAAGCTTGCAGTACAACAAGAACTTTAGCAAAATCCTTTGGATGTTGGCAATTTGAGACTAGATTCTACCAGTGTTTCCTTAGCAGATGCCAGTTAGGATGCATAAAAGAAGATTGAGAGAATGATTAAAAATAAATCAGGTTGGACTAATATACACAGGTATATCCGTGCAGTGATCAAAAAAAAAAAGGAAGAGGAAGAAAGACAGCTGGACCAACGGCAAAGGTAGGAGTGAAGAATGCTGAAAGTTAAAGCTAGAAATGTGGATCAAACTGTATTAGTTAGAATGTGTGAGTCAGACTGTGGGGAAAGAGAAAATGCCGTCTGGGAATGATGGCGAACTAGGAGCGATGAGGGTGTTCTACGCGCTACCTGGAACGAAACAAGGAATCTTCTTGCTGATGGATAGAGCGTGGATGTGTATGAATAGAGAATCAATGAATAAAGGTAGTGCTTCGGAAGTGATACCGGCCTTACAGCGGCCATTGCGCTTCTGGATCGCTGGATGACAGAGGAGGGTCTGGTTTAGCAGGTAGGCGTTGGCCGTAGACTCAGCGACGAGAGGACATTTTAAAGTACCTCGGGAACTATCGCCGGGAGTACGAAGAACGCATCCTGCACTAAGGTTAGTTAGGCGGCATCCTGGACTAAGATGTCTTTTGAAGATTCTAGACCCCCCTCTATAAAGACGAAAAAATGCTGGACACAGAAATGCTGGTCTGTAAATGTAAACATAAATGTAAATGATACTCTAGTGAATATTATTATCTATGCTGGTCTACTGTAAACAAAGATGACATAAGTAAATATTGAGTCGTACAATATCATACTTTACATGATTAAAATCGTAATTAATTAAGGAAATTGTATTAGGGAAATAAAAGCCCCTTAAATTCGCATAAACCTACCAACTTTACTACATTTTAATGTATCTAGCTTGTTTAAAATGTGTCTACATTTATTATAATAAAAAACTGTTTTCAAATAAAATGTATATAAAACAAATAATTTTATGTTCATATAAAAAAATACCACAACACACAAAACTCCCTTTTTAATCAAAATTACATCAAAATTACTCTCATTATTTATATTATATTTCATTTACAACTTTAACAGAAAAATTATATATTCATTTAAAGTTTATATTTAGTTTTTTCAAATAATAAATATCCATTACATTTTAATTAATTGCTCAGGGCAGTCAGCTTAAAACTGAGCTAAATGTATAATGAAATATTTTAATATAATTTAAACTTGTGTATAAATAGTCGAAAAGTTTTAAAGCACGCAAAAAAAATAAAATCTTTCAAAAAGTTTCTAAGAAAATTCAGTTAGATTTTATTAAAATCATTTATTTCTCTCTTTAGACTTATCCATCGTGTACGGTCCATATTCATAGACTTCTGTTTCTGATCGTTTATTACATGGTGCATTCTTCTTCTTTACGTTCCATCTTCTATCAAAGCTTGAAAAACATCATGCTCTAAATAGTTCTGCACTACCGCTTTCAAACCATTCCAGCAAGTTCTTACGCCACGATTTTCTTCGTCTTCCCACATTTTGCTTTCCTCGAATTTTGCCTTGCATAATAAGCTGCAATAATGAGTATCGTTACCCTCTCATAACATGGCCAAGTATTTAAGTTTTTCTCTTTTTTCTTCTTTTGATAGTCAATATTATTTCAGCTTCATTACCTATTCTTCTGGTAACTTTTGCGTCCACTGCTGGACATAGGCCTCCCTGATTTTTGTATATTGTGCTCTGTCTTAAGCACTTTTCATACGATTTCTTGATATGTTGTTGAGATCGTCAGCCCAACGTGTAGGGGGTCTTCCTCTACTTCTTTTGTCTAAACTCGGCCTCCACTCAAGCAACTTCTTCGTCCAGCTTTCATATCACTGATTCGGGCGACGTGTCCGGCACAATTCCATTTCAGTGTGGCGATTACGGAAATTACATTTCCCAAACAAAACGTCGGTAACTTCTATTCTTTGTCTTAAGTCTTCATTTCGAACTCGGTCACAAAGCGATATACTCAGCATTGATCTTTCCATTTTCCTCTGAACTATTTGCAGCGTTTTAGAAGTTGTAGCTGTCAATGTCAAAGCTTCGGCACCATTCGTCATCACAGGCAACACATTGGTCAAATGTTTTACGTTGTAAAGAAATTGGTATGTCGCTTTTAAAGATTTCTTTGAGTTTTTCGTAGGCTGCCCATGCTAGGTTTATTTTTCTACGTAGTTCGTATGTTTGGTTGTCTCTTGTGATCTGTATTTCGTATCCAAGATAATAAAATCTATTTCGTTTTGAGTTTTTCCATTAGGATTTTGCCATGTCCATCTTCTCTTTGGTTTCTTTTTGAAAAAACTGTACATTTGGAATAGTTCATGTTGTAGCATGAACGTTAATAGTATTGTTCTGAAGCTATTTTCTTGTGGCATTGTAAATTAATTACTATTTAACTGGGAATAAGCCACAATTTAAGATAAAAATACGTTTATTAACGTTTCAATTTCCACTTCGGAAATCGTTCTCAGAATACAAACAGTAAATTAAACAAATTTTGTTTTTTGTTACATAGTGAAAAATTCTTTTAATAATTTAATTTTATCTGACTCATTTCTATTGACAATTCAGACATACATTATGCATTTTAAAGTAGACGACTTTAAAATATTCCCAATATTGTTGAGTTGCGCTCCTGGGGCGACTTTACTTATAAGATAGTTCATTCAATTACATGAAATCAACTTTAACTTGAGAATATCAGTCAGAAAAAAATCATAGCATGTAATTCGTCTTTAAAGAGACAAACACATGACATGATGACAGTAAAATTCTCCTGTTAGTGATTCATAGTAAATTATGAGGGAAAAACCAGGAAAAAACCTCATAATACTATCCCGACATTGTAAGTATTTGTTCGTGAATTTAGTTTACAACAAACAATAAAATTCTGATTTTATAATATATGTTACGTTATTTAAAAAACATAAATGATGTATCCTCTATATGTTACTGACTTACTAATACTGGTATTTTCTTATTAATAACTTTCTCTTTCGATATTGGTAACCAGATCCTAATACATTCTGCCGAGGAATTTGCGACACAATTGGCCTCATTTAGCATAATTAGAGCCGCTTCTTTGATTTTTCTTTTTTTTACCATCCGTTTCTTTTAGGACCACATTTGAATTATTCCATTGAACCCTATGTTCATTATCCCATGCGTGTTTACATATTTGAGATCTATCAAATTCTCTATTTTTAAGATTGATGTTCACTTATTCTAACATGTAATGGCCTTGATGATTCACCTAAATAAAACTGATCGCATTCACAAGGTATTTTATAAATGCAATTCTTTGTTCTTTCTTGTTTATTGTTGATTGAAAATTGAAACGTCAATAAACGTATTTTTATCTTTAATTGTGGCTTATTCCCAGTTAAATAGTAATTAACGTTAATAGTATTTCGCCACGTTCATTTCTACCATCTAAGCCAAAGTTTCTGAGTGGCATTTCTGTAGGGTTGGATTTTATTCCTGTTTTTGCGTTACGATCTTCGCATATAAAAGTAAAATGTTCTTGATGGTCTTTAAGAGCAGCTTTGATATCATCATAGAATAAATCCACATCTTCTCCATCATGGTTTGTTGTTGGTGCATAAACCTATATTATTTTTATATTATACCTTGTATTTAATTAAAGAGTAAGACAAATCACTCTTGTGGAAAATTTCTTTAGTGATACTATACTTGTTTGGAGACGCTTGTGTATAATGAAGCCGGTTACTCTCAAGGAATTATTGTCATTACCTACGTGGTAAAAACTGTGTCCTGATTTTAGTTTAATTAAGTGTTCACCACGTCTTCTGACTTCGCTGAGACCGACTATGTACCACTTTATGTTTTCTAGTTCGCACTCAAGTTCAGTAAGTCTTTCATCAGATAGTAGGGAACGTGGATTATATGTTCGTATATAATGTGTCGTCTTATTCTGGAATCCATGGAACAGACTGATAATTTATCAGTGCAAGTTTCTGGAAATAATTTCCTACTTGCCCTGGGGTATTTGCTTGTTTTCAACTGACATTCTATCAATAATTACTTACAAGAAAATGTTGAAAAACTGCAAATCTTCTGTGACTCTGGAGAAGAACAAAATAAAACATTACTATTTTTCGATTTATTCAATTTGTAATAAACAAAATTCATAATTTAAAAGAAATAAATATCACGTTCCCTGTAAGAGGACATTCCTGTTTGGAGTATTTGAAGAGTTTGAAGAGGTCATTAGGCATTACCGTTCCAATCCATCACCGTTTGTTATAGTGAGTGTATTACAAAGTAATACAAAGGTACTGGATTGAAAACCATTTTTAGATTCTATATATTTTAGAACACGTAGAATTGACTAAAGAAAACAAGAAGACGAAGGAGAAAAAGAAGTATAGATCATATCAGGCCACCTGAACCAGAGTGGCCTAAGTGATATTTTTTCATATTTAGACTTTATCACAAAAAAACAGTGTGAAATAATAATATTTTCAACGCCACAGTGGCCCAAGATTATTTTTCTCCAAGAATAACAGATGGCGACACTAGTATTGTTTTGGCATTGTAATTTTATACTCCATTTTAAAAATCATAGTGACCCAGGTGACTTGGGCCACTCTGGCATTGGCAAAGCTTAATTGTCATTGTGATTATTATTGAGAGGTTCTTTGCGTATTTCTCATTTTATAAGAGTGTTTTAATTAGAAAATTAATAAAAACATGAATGAAAGTGAGGGTGAAGGCGCGGAAGGCACTGTATGTAACGTAAAAGGTGAGTTTCTCTGTTAGTTAACCAACAATCCAACTGATATAACCTTTGTCAAGTTAACATAAGGTACAAAAACATTAATTGTACTGTTTTAATTTAAACAAAGCTTACATCTTACATAAATAGTAATTATTGTTGTGTTTGTTTGCTGCAGATGTTCCTGGAGCTGCAGCAACTGCACATGATGGAGAGAGTGAGGCTGAAACTACTGATAACATCGAAAATGAATTACGAGATATACTTGGATCAAGCCCAAAGGAGCCCTATCAGTATTCAGATTCCGAGTATGTTCCAGATCATCGCAGTAGGAGCTCTTCGCTAAATTTGCAACATATTCTTGAAGATTTGTCTAATGAAGAAGACCAGTCGTCAGTTTCTACAAATACGATAAGGAAACGCATTCGCAAGGAAAATACGTGGAAAAAAATGTGAGAAAAAACAAACGAGCTAAAGGTGAGGAATACACTAACACTAAAGGCGTTCTTGTTCTGGCTAAAACGATAAATACACAATATCGATGTCCCTGTAAAGAAAAATGCCACGAGAAGATCGAACCTGAAAGACAAAGAATACTATTTTCCAAATTGTATGGATTATCAAATTTCAATTTGCAAAGCTCATACCTGTGTTCACTCGTAAATGTCGTAATTAAAGCAAGATCATGTAAACAAAAGGCAAACGATGTCACAACAAAGCCGAGAGAATTTTCCAGACTGTATCATTTACCAGATATAAACGGAAGACAAATTCGTGTTTGCAAGTCATTTTTCAAACATGTCCTTCAAGTATCAGATGGACGTCTCACAAGGGTTTTGAAAAATAAATCAGTTGGTGATACACCCCCTATTGACAAGCGAGGTAAACATGTCCCAAAAAACAAAACCCCTGAGCTCAAAGAAAATGAAGTAATGGAGTTCATTAATACTTTTCCAAAATAAGATTCACACTACACCAGACACAAAAGTGAGACAAGACAGTATTTGCCACCTGACTTGAATTTGACAATAATGTATTCCGAATATAAAAAGAAAGTCAGCGAACCTATTTCTAAATACATCTTTGAAAAAATATTCAACGAGAAGTTCAACTTATCATTCCATGCTTCTATAACAGATTCATGTAAGAAATGCGATAATTTCAAAGTAAAAATAGAGGATTGTGAAAATAATGAACATTCCAAGAAGGCCGAACTTACCACTGCCAAGGAGATTCATTTAAGAAAAGCGGAAAGTGCCACTAATAATATGAAAATTGATATACAGTATGCAAAAGAAAACAATGACACCACAGTAATTATATTTGATCTGATGAAGACTCTTCCAACTCCGGTAATTTCAACTGGAATATGCTATTATAAACGGCAGTTATGGACTTACTGTTTAGGTGTTAACAATGCTGCTATCAATGACAATTTTATGTACGTTTGGGACGAATCGACTGCATCCAGAGGGCCACAGGAAATAGGTTCATGTTTATTAAAATTTATTAGAGATAATGTACGTACAAAGAAATGTAATAATGTACTCAGACCAATGTGGCGGTCAGAACCGCAATATAAAAATTGCGGTGTTGTGTATGTACATTGTATCAAATCCAGCTTATACTGTGCAACAGATTGATCACAAATTTTCAGTGAGCGGCCATTCCTACTCATCTTGTGACCGAGCTTTCGGCTTGATAGAAAAGCAGAAGAGATATTTCTCAAACATATGCATTCCGGAGCATTGGAACACCGTGATAACAGCAGCGAGAAAAAAGAATCCATTCAAGGTAGTACAGATGAAACGAGACTATTTCATATCGACAAAAGCATTAAAAAGTAACATTACGAACAGAAAGATAAGCGTTTGTAGGTCTAAAGTAGGGTGGCTAAAAATGCAGTGGATGCTGTATAGTAAGATTCATCCATTCTTCATATATTTTAAATATTCGAATAATCCAGAAGTCCTTTTTCCTGAAGGTAACTTCAGTAAATGGAATTCTCAAGATGCTGCTAACCTAGAGCTCGAAACACTCTATCCGGATGGAAGAAAAATCAACTATGAAAAAAAGAAAGACCTTCTGTGTTTACTAGAATATGTTCCTTCCATATATCATAAATTCTACTACCAACTAGCAGACTCTAACACTGCAAGAAATGAATTAGACGGAGCAATGAGCGATTTTTGAGTGCAGTAGTGTATAATGAAAACATTTAGTAAAAGTTAAGTAAAAAAACCAAGTTTTAATTTGTAATTTTTCAGTTTAATAAAAGTCATTATCTCTGGTAAATTACATTTATTTCTGGTATATTACATTAATTTATTTCTATGGGATGGGTTGTTTTCATACCCGATAGCCTATTATTCTTAGTTTTATTGACATGCTTGTCTCAAACAGCCCATGACAAAGTTGCCCAACTGTTAAAAATTTACAAATACTTACAAAATTAGCATCAGGCTATAGCTCATAACAATCTTATTAATTTTTAAAGTATTATGCTGCGAACTAAGCAATGTGTTTAATATTTACTAAATTTTCTACATTAACTCGAAACTCATATCTCTAGTTCTGATTCCTATCACTTGGGCCACTCTGGTTCTGGTTGCCTGAAATAATAGAATATTCGCATACCTAAATAGAACAACTTCCATGGAAGTATCCATCTGTTAATGAACAAGTGGAATTAAGTAAAGAAACGAAGAAGAAAATGGAGAAAAAAAAAGTATAGATTATATGACAATAACCATCACTCACGTCTCTACTATCGTCCCAAAATATGTAAATCATTACTTTATTAGTTATATTCGAAAACCCGAACGTTAGATATCTTAAAAAACCTTTTATTTTGGTTAAATTGTAAATTATGGCCAGAATGTAAATGTTTCAATCTGCGGCTCGGTTAAACTTTCATGTCACGTCGTTCAATTGCTCCATTAAATACTTAAAAAATAACGTGAATCTTACCCTAAGCCGTCTACATTCCAGCAATTTTTTCGCATTTAATGTGTGCCGAGATCATTATTGCCAACCAATTCAGTAGTCGATTATTAAGCTCAAACTCCCTTCCAATAATCAACTGGATAAATATTGAACGAGCGAAGACTGGAGCTCGAAGCAGAGCTAATATAAAACTAACACTGACAATTTCTTTAGTTTTGTCCCATTCTCATTCCCTTCTTTCGCTATAATCATTCGGGTCCCAAAAAATGGGGCTCCGAGAAACACCTTTTGTTTTATCTCTGGAAATAAACGCAGAGTTGGCTTGACCCAGGTATCAGCTAAGTGCCAGTTTGGCGAACTTTATGGCACAAATGGTAGCGATGTGCAGAATGGGCGCAAAACTTTTCCTTTAATCATAATTAAATCAGATAAGTGTTTTCGTTTATGTATTACGCTCATTTTTATTGCAGTAAGCTACAAGATGGCTTTCTTTCTTTAGACAAAATATTATTTTCCTTGTTTTGTCTCAATGGAAAATCTGGAGAATTCTTACTTATCTTAGTTACTTGTGTTTTTGAATACGACTTCAAAAATATAAAGAAACAAAACGTAATTTTTGTCTACGATAGACACTGTTTCTATTATTAAATAAATATAACCAGTGGCAGCTGATGATAAGTTTTTTTTGGAGAATACAAAAAATTAACTAGATATTTAGCAAAAGCTTTCTTCTTAAAATAAAAGTTAATATTTCGACACCTCCTATGTAGAATATTGTAAGTGCATTCGGTCAGCTTTACAGTGATGTTAAAAAGTCCTGCATTGTAACGAATATATTTTGCATACCATAGGGTAAGATTATGAGGGGTAGAAAATTGGGGACAGAAATTATTGGAAGTCGAGATTGAACAAGCAAAATAATCGATACTTATGCGGACGGCACTCAGGGGTAATTGGAGAGCTGGGTCGTGGATAAGTTCAATGATAAAGGGTTGGATTGGGGCAACTACCAAAAAAATGAAACAAAGGGGTAGTTACATAAATCTCCTGGTAAATGGGCAAATAGAGACAACAAGAAAGACTTCTAGCTATTTAAGAAACAAAAGACGCTGTTTCAAAAAATCCTAATCTTGCTGGTTAAAGGAAAAATATCCCTAAAATAACAAAACACACCAAGGGATTAGGAGATTATTCTAAAATAAAGTAAACAAAATAGTTCAGAGAAATAAAATAAACATGTATTTTTGTCTCAAACAAACAGTATACATATACAGATAATCAGAAGTAATTATGATATTTATAATTTTATGGATTTATACCAAAATAAAACAAAACTTACATATATTCTATCTGTTTACAAACTCACAAGTGGGAATTGTTATAAAACTTACAAAACTGTTATTAGGTTATTTATAACTATGGCAGAAATAGATTATTAAAATTAAAGATATCTTTTTTAAGTAAAACTATGTATAATAAAGGTTAACCTTATTTAAAAACAAAACAAACTGGATTTCAAATTTAATAACGCTAGCTGTCACATGTCAACATTGAATTTTGATGACAAAGAGCAATTAAATTGACAGCATAACCACACTCTAAGATTTACAATATTTTATTATTAAAAATTTAAATTGTTATGAAAGCAATTATTGTTATTAGAAAAAAAAAGTCTACTTTACTTTGAAAATTAAATACAAAATGTTACCTTTATTTCACTAGATCACACACAAAAGATTTCTGAGGTTAAAATCTGCATCTCTAAAATTCCTGGGGTTAGAACTGGGGTTGAACTCTCTGCCTCACGATCAAATAGAAACTGCTTTAGGAACAAAGCAAAGTTGAAAGGGGCACTTATGCAAACCTTGCATGCAAAACAGGAACCATCTTATTTACTTTTCAAATGTTGACACTAATCTTTAGAATGTTGAAACAGTGGTTACTCCTCCAAATTCGACATATTATATAGAGTAAAATTCCACTTATTTTCATTTTATTTTTTTTTATAACCACATAACAACGAACTGTTCCCTTTGATCGACTCTTCAAACCTGGAGTGCAACCTTCTATCGAACTCTGACGTACCGACACCTCCCCTTGCGCCTCCTTCATACCCGTACACGCCCAGGAACCAACTCAAATTTGTTAGTCTTACGAATTGTGAAAATAACCTTGGATCTACTTCCGGCGTTACTGCGTCTTAGAAAAATGAACACAAGACTTTCAAATAGGTAAAGAAATAATAAATAAGACTTACTCACAATCAATTTAATTTAACTATCTGACGACCAGTTTCGCTTTCTACAATAAGCAAAGCATCCTCAGGTCTCGATACAAAGTTAAACAAATGATGCCGGTACTCTATTAATTGATGGATGGTAGAACATGGTTAGGTTAGGTTAGAAGCATCGGAAGAAGACGAATTTCATGGCTGAAGAACCTGAGA